ACTTAATGCGAGATATTCAGAAAAGGTATTTCAAAGTGGAATAACAATCAAGTATTAAATTGGTTTATCTTTTAACAATAGCATAGTTCTTTTTTTAACATCTCCATTTCTTAGTATTAAAAAAACAAAAAAAAGCTAAAACCTTCAACTGATTTGCCCTGACACTGGTAACTCCAGAAGTATTTGCATTGTTTTCTTATTTCAGCAAGACAAGAATAAAGACACAAACAGATAAATACTAATATGCATGCAATAAACTAGTCTACTTAGGATTTTGGTAACTCAGTTTTCATTGGTTTCCCATTGCCTCCCATCTCACACAGGCAAATATAAACAATAATCTTTACTTAATGCTATATACTGAGCTCATTGTAAAATAAACTACATTAACTTTCCCAGTATTTGAAAGGAAAAAAATGAAGTGTAATTTTGAAACACTCAATGAAGAAAGATATTAAAAGTCATCTTTGTGTAATTCCCCGGGTACTAAGGCACTGTGTGGGCCACTTGGACACCCTCACTCAGAAGACTGTTAACTGCTTAACTGTTAAGTTTAAATCACTACCACTTGAAATGGACTGGAATTCTAGAGGCTGCAGCTACCTGCACTGAAAGTATTGAAGGAATTTAGCTATTTGGTGGCAAGAATTCTCATTAATAACCTCTGTTCATAGATGAAGGCCATGGTGTACACTTAAATGAAAAGAAATGGTCCACGTTGACCAAGAGGCACAGTGGCAACATCTTCTGGGCATCAAGCTTTTATTCCAGTGGATGTGAAGATCCCAAGGGGAGCCCACTATAGGTCAGTAGTGACACACCGGAATACTGCTGAGAACCATTTCCAGGAGGAAAAATGTCAGGAGTTACGTGCAGAAAAGAAAAAGTATTCTTGGTTACAGATAGCCCATGAGAATAAAAAAATAGCCACAATATTTTAGTCATCTTATTTTGTGTTTGGTAGGCAAATATAATCTAAATAAGCAAAGGACACTGTGCTTGCACCTGTTACCCAGACTATTATCACTTTTGAATTGTCTTATTTCAGTTTACTTGTTTTCTTCAGCATTTGCTGTTTTGTCAAGTATGAAGGTAGCTAAACCACTACATATGAAACATTAAGAGCTCATGTTCCCAGACCATCAGGGAACCCAGAGATCTACATGACCCCAGGGACCCTATAGATGAGCAAACAGAGGTCCTAAGCAATTATATACATTGAATACATTTAAAATTAGTAGATTAAAAGGTTTTTAGAGTACAGGTCTTTCACCTCTTTGGTTAAGTTTATTCCTAGATATTTTATTGTTTTTGGTACAATTGTAAATGGGATTGTTTTCTTAATTTCACTTTCTGCTGCTTCATTATTAGCATATAGGAATTCAACAGATTTCTGTACATTAATTTTGTATCCTGAGACTTGCTGAATTATCAGTTCTAGTACTTTTTTTGTTTTTGTTTTTGTTTTTTTGGTAGAGTCTTTAGGGCTTTCTATATATAGTATCATGTCATCTGCAAATATAAAACTATAAAACACTGATGTAAGAAATTCAAGATGACATAAGGAAATGGAAAGACATTCCATGCTCATGGGTTAGAAGAACAAATATTGTTAAAATGTCTATACTACCCAGAGCAATCTATAAATTCAATGCAATCTGTATCAAAATACCAACAGCATTTTCACAGAGCTAGAACAAGGAACCCTAAAATTTGTATGGAACCAAAAAAGACCTCAAATAGCCAAAGGAATCTTTAAAAAGAAAAACAAAACTAGAGGTATCACAATTCCAGATTTCAAACTCTATTACAAAGCAGTAGTAATTAAAACAGTATGGTACTGATTATAAAAAACAGACATACAAATCAATGGAATAGAACAGAAAAGCCAAAATAAACCCACATTTATATGGTCAGTTAATCTTCAACAAAGGAGGAATGAATATACAATGGGAAAAAGACAGTCTCTTCAACAAACGGTGTTGGGAAAACTGGACAGCTACATGCAAAAGAATGAAACTGGACCACTTTCTTTCACCATACACAAAAATAAACTCAAAATGGATTAAAGACCTAAACGTGAGACCTGAAACCATAAAAATCCTACAAGAGAGTACAGGCAGTAATCTCTCTGACATTGGCCCTAGCAACATTTTTCTAGCTATGTCTCCCAAAGCAAGGGAAATAAAAGCAAAACTAACCTATTGGGACTACAATCAAAATAACAAGTTTCTGCACAGTGAAGGAAATAATCAATACAGCTAAAAGGCAACCTGCTGAATGGGAGAAGATATTTGAAAATGACATATCTGATAAAGGGTTAGGATCAAAAATATATAAAGAACTGATACAACTCAATACCCAAAAACCAAATAATCCAATTAAAAAATGGGCAGAAGATATGAACAGACATTTCTACAAAGAAGACATAGAGACGGCCAACAGACACATGAAAAGATGCTAAACATCACTCATCATCAGGGAAATGGAAATCAAAACTACAATGAGATATCACTTCACACCTGTCAGAATGGCTAAAACCAAAAACACAGGAAACAACAAGTGTTGGTGAGAATGTGGAGAAAAAGGAACCCTCTTGCACTGTTGGTGGGAATGCAAACTGGTGAAGCCACTGTGGAAAACAGTATGGAGCTTCCTCAAACAATTAAAAGTAAAACTATCCTATAATCCAGTAATCACACTATTGCGTATTTACAAAAAAATATATAAAAACACTAATTCAAAGGGATACATGTATCCCTATATTTATTGCAGCATTATTTACAATAGCTAAACTATGGAAGCAGCCCAAGTGTCCACTGATAGATGAATGGATAAAGATGTGATAGATAGATGATAGATAGATACAGATATTTACATAGATATCTATAGATGATAGATAGATAGATAGATAGATAGATAGATAGATAGATAGACAGATAGATAGATAGAGGAATATTATACACCTGTAAAAAAAGGAGATCTTTCCATTTGCAACATGGATAGAGCAAGAGAATATAAAACTAAGGGAAATCAGTAAGTCAGAGAAAGACAAATACCATATGATCTCACCCATATGTGAAATTTAAGAAACAAAACAAATGAGCAAAGGGAAAGAGAGAGAGAAAGAGAAATCAACAAACAGATTCTTAACTAGAGAGAACAAACTGATGAGTACCAGAGGGGATGTGGATGGGGGGATAGGGGAAATATGGGGTGGAGATTAAACAGTACACTTATCATGATGAATAAAAAATAGAATGATAAAAATATTAGTAGATTATGAGTTCAAGACTCTAGTATAAATATTCTAGTATTCATTCGTATAGTATGCATATGTTACGCTGAATATAAAACATACATAATACCATACCTTACCATACCATATCTGTAAATCGTATAGTAGTAAAAACAAATGCACATAAGTAAGCATTCAATGAATAAGATATTTCCTATAGATTAACACAGAAAACAAATGTTTACACAGATGATTTTCTCATTTGAGAACAATTCCATTCCTCAAAAGTCTAGATTTCAATTCATTTCTATTTGGGCATAAAATAAGACCCTTCTTAACATGTATCAGTTCCTGGTGTTGGAAAGAATCTCAAAAATTACGAAACCTCCTTCTGTATTTGTATTTGAGTTTAGAAAGCAGCACTACTGCCCCAATGGCACTTCCTTGCCATTTTATTCCCTGGGCTAGTAAAGGATGCTGCAGCTCTCATAAAAAGGAGAACCATATGAGAAAATGAGTGAATCCCCAGTGGCTCGTTCCTCTACTAAGGATCCATTCTATAAAATGAGTCCTGAGAGACATTCCCAGTCTTGGGTTTCACTGGAACCAGGCAGGAAGAAAGTTAGGGAGTAACAGTCCCCACTTGCTTCTCAACCCAGCAAACCTCAAGTATCCATTGAAAAGACTGTGCTTTACCTACTTTATAGTCAACCGCCGCTAGCATAACCTCCCTCCTCCCCCACCCACCACGCCCCTGCTGTGCCTGGCACTTGCATGGATGGATGGATGGATGCATGGATGGATGGATGGATGGATGGATGCATGGATGGATGCATGGATGGATGCATGGATGGATGCATGGATGCACGGATGGGTGGATGGATGGATGAGTGGATAAGTATATAAAATTTTCCTCTATGGGTCCATCATAATTCATAGGATTTTTTTCAAATATCAGAGTAGTCTTTATCGCCTCCTCTGGGGAAATACTGCCATTATATTTTCCTTGTTAAAACTTACGAAATATCTGTAGCTGGCCAGTTTCTAATCATAATAAAAGCTCCAAACTATCACAATTTGGGTAGCCTAAGTCCATATCTGGTACTCAAAGAAAAAAGTCTAGTCATGATTTTACTGGGAAAAAGTAGTGAAAAATCAGCATCTTCTAAATGTTACCCTGTATGTTAGTTGGCCATGTGTGCGCCTAACAGAATGAAAAAGGATTAAAATTAGAGTTAGGGTTGGGGGTTGATGGTCCAAAGTTTTAAAAGAGAGAGAGCTGGACTTCAGATTTGAAAGATTTAAGGAAGATCTATGATATACCTGCAAATGAAATGCAGTTCTATTATTATTATATTTATTTACTTTATTAATATATATTTTATATATATAATAATATATATTATAATACTATATATTTATTAATATATATTTATATTATTATATTATTAAAGTGAGGCGTGACTTATTTTACAGCCAAAGAAAAGGTAGGGCATTAAATGCACCATTTGTTTACATGGATGAAGATTCACCCAGGGCCCATGGATATACATACTGTAATAGAAGTCCTTTCCACAACAATTACATGCCAGTCTCACACTCCCTTAGCAGGAGAGGTGTGTTTCAATTAGGAGGTTCTTACCAAGGCTTCCTCCTACTTTCTGGGCAGTTCTTTGGAAATGAGGGGGCTGCGGATAGGTAAGAAGGAAAACTCATTACCCGCCCTCAGAGAGTTGAGAAAGTGTGGGTTTGTATTACTCACAGCTCTGCCTGCAGGCTCCTGTCCTCAGCCACATAGTTTGAAGGAATATAGCCCTGTAGCGGTTGGCCAGAGGCATCTTCCCTTCTCTCCAAGTGCCTGGCCAACCACCAGCCCTCGAGGGAAGCGTCCAGGACTTGGAGCTTGTCGCCCGCGCGGAAGCTCAGGTCCTCTGCGGTCCGCGCCTGGTAATCAAACAGAGCCACAAAGTAGTGGCCGTGGCTTCTCCTGGGCTCCTGACTCTCTGACTGGGGAGGATCGGGGGAGCAGCTGGCTACGGGGTTCTCAATCACCACCGCCGGCTTGTCGGCCTCCTGGAACAAGCAGGGGAGGCAGGGCCCCAAGTTCGCCCAGAACCTCAGACAAATGTTGCCCATGGTGCTGTGGTAGGGAAGAGGGGAGAGGGGCTTCTCCCTCTCCCCTCAGTCTCTACAGATCCACTTTCTCTTCTTCCACCAGGCAGCTTGGAAGTCAGCACCAACTCCCCCGGCTTCCGAGAGGGTGCAAAGCCCGGTTTCACAACCAGCGGCAGACCTGCCTGCGGTGATCCCCGCTTGGGGACACTCACCTGCTTGCTTTCTGTGGCCCGAGCTGCTGCCCCAATGCCAAACTGAGTGGGAGCTGGGAGGCTGCTCCGGGGAAGATGTCTTTTCTTCTTGTCTGCTTAGGAATCCCACAGCAAAAATAAAATTAAGAGGGCTTTATTTAGACAAACGTCTGCGAACAGAAGAGTCATCTTGCTTTATGTGCCGAGGTAAAGTTAATAAGAGAAAGAGGTGAACTGCAGGTAAGATCACATCTTGCTTCTGCCGGAAGCTCCCTCCCTGCTTCAGGTCCGTCTCTGTGGTCTGGCCGGTCCTGACCCCCACTGCTCTTTCCTTTTTGCTAATGATTAACCAACCAGCTGAGCCTATTGCCTTTAACATCCTGAGCTATGAGCAGACAAATAATTTCTCCTTACTTCCTGGTTTCCTTTTCTCTGTGATTTAAAAGAGATTCCTGTCCTCTCTACCTCTCCCTTCCCACACCCAAGAGAGACCAGCGCCCTCACCAGGAAGCCAAACTCTTAAAGCACTGCCAAAGTCCATACTACCAGATAAACAGGCTAGCCCAGGGAGCTTTTTGTCTTGCTATGTTCCCAACACAGATTTTTTTCCCCGTTCATGAAGATGAGTAGGATTATTCTGCCACCACTAGGGGAAATTAAAAGGATAATTAAAGTGTCTAGATATTTGTTACTGGACAAATGGCAGCTGGGAAAGAACTATTGAGTTCCTACCTTTTTTCATCACTGTGAATCAATTTTTAATAGCTTCAAAATATATTTACAGTCTGGAAAAATACGACAGCAGCTGACTAAAATGCTGAGAACCTGAAACACTGCTCTTTCCCACAGAGACATTTAATTTCCCATCTCTCACGTGCTATTTCTGAAATACATACACACAGAGAGAGATTAGGGGACCAGTAGAGAGAAGGAGTAGAAAGGCTGCATGTGAGCAGCTGTGGGTCTACAGGAATTCTGACTAACTTCATTGGTAGGACCTCAGGAGCTAATGACACTGAGATCAGACAGCCATCCTGATGGGCAGCGGGGTTTGCTTTACTTCCTCTTGTTTGTGACAGCTGACTCACAAATGTGTGCTCTGGATCCCAAGAACAATCAGGCAGAGAATGTGGACAGATCAACACACCGCCATTTTCACTAGTAGAGACCACTCTCAACTCGTTTACGATGTGTCACTTGTTTTCATATAAGACATTTATTAAAATTCTCCACTCCAAAAAAACAATCTCTATATATGTTACTGGAGGCTTGACCTGGCTAGCCAAGTCTCAGCACAACCTCAAAATTCCTGTTCTTTGACAAACAGAAAGGCATTTTTAGTAATCAGAATAATCAAACTCAAGGAAAACGGTGGGGCAGGGCGGGGGGGGGAGGGAACCCAGGGAACCATGCCCATGGCTTCAGCCCCATCTGCTCTTACCTGGTACTAAAATCATTCATGTGGACAGATGACCTGCCTAGAACAAGACCTCATGTCAAATTCCCAGGTTTTTCCAGTTGTCTTCAGAGTTAGAGTAGAAGCACCAATTTAGCAGTAAAAGAAAAGCCAAAAGCTGAGCCAGTTTTGGGTTGTCTGTTTGTTTGTGACATGGGACCGAAAATATAATTCTACATATAAGAGAAAATGGCAATTATATAATATTGAGAAGCCATAAGTATATTTTGTTTCAGACACAATATTAATTGTAAAAGTGTGGGATTCTATTAATGCCCCCACATAGAGGCATAGAATGCTAGTCTTTCCAGAGACATCTGTAGGATCTAAAAATGAAATGAGATTTGGAAGCAGCTAGAGAAGGGTATTCAAACCCAATTTGTAAGTGGAGTTTGAGACTTCAAAAATTCGAAGTTTTTAAATTCAGATATACCTCCATTATGGTCATGACAAGGCATTCTAGAAAAAGACAAAGTGGCAGACGTGCACAGCACAGTCACTGAGCTAATAAATGAAACTGAAAAAAGCTGGTGACCATCCGAAGGTGTCAGGCGAGCAATGGTCTGAGAAAGCTGAGCCATGGGATGGGAAGAGAAAAGGTTTCTTTGTGTCAGCAGTACCAGAACTCTGCAGTCACCCAAGCTTGAAGACTTAAAGTCATCTTTTACTCTCCCCCTGGTTTCTCTGAGCTAATCAATCATTACATTCTGCTCAGTCTTCCTTTTCATTTATTTCACAAACTTTGTTTATTCCTTCTGAATGACAGCTGGGTACTGGACAAGAATAAATAAATAAATAAATAAATAAAAATAGAATATTCTTCCCTAGATTATTCCAGAGGCGTTCTAAGCAGTCTCCCTTCCTCCAGCTTATCCTCTACCTGACTCACCTTGCATACCACTCCCAGAGCAATATTTACAATAGTAATAATGATATGAGTGCTGGTAAAGAGTAGCCATCAGGATTGGAGGGCTTTCTATGTACCAGGCCCTGTGCTAAGAATGTTACAAATGGTATTCATTTAATTCTCAGATAAATAAAAACAATAATACCTATGAGGAAGGTAGGGTTTTATGTTTGTTTTCAATTTTAAAGAAGAAACCGAAGAGGGCACATTCTGCGTGGAGCACTGGGTGTTATGCACAAACAATGAATCATGGAACACTACATCCAAAACTAATGATGTAATGTATGGTGATTAACATAACAATAAAAAATTTTTAAAAAAAAAGAAGAAGAAGAAACCGAGCACCTGGACGGCCCAGTCCTTAAGCGGCTGCCTTCGGCTCAGGTCATGATCCCAGTGTCCTGGGATCGAGCCCCGCATTGGGCTCCCCGCTCCGCGGGAAGCCTGCTTCTCCCCATCCCACTCCCCCTGCTTGTGTTCCTGCTCTCGCTGTCTCTCTCTCTGTCAAATAAATAAATAAATAAAATCTTTAAAAAAAGAAGAAGAAGAAACCAAGGCTTCAGGAGATTAAGTAAATCGTCCAAGCTTACACAGCCACCAAGTGGCTGAACCATGAGTAACACCCTGGTCTCAATCTGTCTCCAAAGCCTGAGTTTTGACGACTCTAAAAAGAAGCTGATGTCGGGGCGCCTGGGTGGCTCAGTTGGTTAAGCGACTGCCTTCGGCTCAGGTCATGGTCCCAGGGTCCTGGGATCGAGCCCCGCATCGGGCTCCCTGCTCGGCGGGAAGCCTGCTTCTCCCTCTCACACTCCCCCTGCTTGTGTTCCCTCTCTCTCTGTCTGTCTCTCTCTCTGTGTCAATTAAATGAATAAAATCTTTGAAAAAAAAAAAAAGAAGCTGATGTCATTCTTCTGTGTAAAATCCTTCAGGATCATCCAGTGTGTTTGGAATAAAACCTAAATTCCTTATCAGGACACATAAGGCCCTGCTAACCTCTTTAACCTCATGGCCCTTCCGGGCAGCACACACACCCTGGGTTGCAGGTTCCCCAGGCAACTAGGGCTCCTGAAGTCCTCCTGCCCGCCCCCCACCCTACCCCCTGACTTCCTTGTGATTTTTCCAGGCTGAGTTCAATTGATACTTTCTCTGCCATAACAGAGTAGAGGCCCCTACTCTGTGTACCCCTAAAACCTGACACACACTTCTACTTGGTCACCTGCTGAATGCCACTTGGTTCTCTTACTTCTTTGCTTTTCCCACAAGAATTAGATTTCCTTCTCTGAATCTTCAGTGCCTTGTACAACATCCAGTATGTAAGTAGTAAATACTCCATAAGTATTGAGGAAGGAAGGAAGGAGGGGAGGGAGGGAGGGAGGGAGGAAGGAGGGAAGGAAGGAAGGAAGGAAGGAAGGAAGGAAGGAAGGGAGGAAGGAAGGAAGGAAGGAAGGAGGGGAGGGAGGGAGGGAGGGAGGAAGGAGGGAAGGAAGGAAGGAAGGAAGGAAGGAAGGGAGGGAGGGAGGGAGGGAGGAAGGAAGGGAGGGAGGAAGAGGGGCTCCTGGGCTCAGTTGGTTAAGTGTCTGACTCTTGATTTCAGCTCATGTCATGATCTCAGGATTGTGAGATCAAGCCCCACGTCAGGCTCCTCATTGATCCTGGAGCCTGCTTAAGAGTCTCTC